ATATATATATATATATATATATATATACACACACACCCTAAATGTACATATAAGGCATAAGTTTTTTTAATGTCTACCCATTTCTAGGTAGAATAAATATAATATTTGTTATTATTTATCTCGAGGAAATGTTTTCTAGAACTACTTATTGCTAAATTTCACTACCCTATGGATAAGGTGAACATATAGCGGTATACAATTACATAATTAATATTTTAATATACGTTAATTAATCTATTATCATCTGACGTAAGAAGTAATAATTCAAGCGTCATTAATAAACTTATATAAATAACAAGTTATTGTTTTGCAGTATTCACTATTTATAAACAGTACAATTTTACAATGGATACGAACTCTCAACATCCATAGTCTTTCTACAGTCCTTATTGGTATATTTAATACATTGTTTCCATGCTTAACTGACTAATACTTTTTATTTTACATAGAAGAAATTCATAATTGGAGTATAAGTTAAAATTATGTTAACAAAGCATGTTATAATGCACTAAAATGACCAAAAACTAGTCGAACGTTAAGGACACAAAAATCAATTCAATATTCAGTCTCTATACCAGGCAATTTTCACCTGATTTAAAAACTATGTATGACATTCGTTTTTTTTATATATATATAATAAATTAAATTATCAAAATTTAAGAAGATTCGGGCTTGCAAGTGTTTCTATTTTATCTTATTGTTGCACGTTTATAGCCTAAAGAAAGTGAAATGTATATCATAAATTTATGATCCTGTCCAACCATCCAAAATGCATCACAAAGACATTAAGTTCACATACATACAATTATCACAGTATTTATGATAATAGAATTTACAGTGATCATTTTTTTTTTTTTAGTTTATAATTTAAAGGTGTCGCCATAATATATAAATGCGCTGTCGATTGGAATACTTATTCGTTTCGTATGTAATGCTTGTTCTGAATGGTATACACTCAGTGTTTCGAAGTTTCTATAAGATTTGGCACAGCCTTCATTTTTTACTTTGGTATTGTCAATTTACAATGTTCACAACAAGTCTGCATAGCGTATGTAATGTTTTTTTTTGTATTTTTTTTCTGGATATAGTAATTGAACTAAACTTTAGTAGATTAATTTTCACTTTAAGGCTTCTAAGCCGTGAATGCGAAACTAACACTTTGAAATCTACTTGTAAATAATAGGAAGACGCCATCTTAAAGCATCCACAGTCGTCTTGATTTACTGACCGTTTCTTTGGCAGAAATGTTTTGAAATATCTCAGCATCAGCCCAAGGTAAGATTATACACATGAACATTTTGGTTGTTCTGCGGTCAGTGAGGAACACGTTGAAAGGAACGAAGGCCTCTCCTCCTTCCACAAAATGTTTAATTTTTGCATACATGTCTGGAAATTCAGCAGCTAAGTTTATTCCTCGTTCCTGCAGATGACGCTTCATAGCTTCACATTCTTGATATCTCTCTGTCAGGTCAGATCCAGGTCCTTTAGCTATAGTCAGTATCACAGTTTGAAGGTCATCTTCTGGTTGAGGTGGAGCGAGACGCAACTTTGTTCCTCTTATGATTATTTCTCGCTCCACTAAGGCACCCGCACCACTCGACATCTCTTCAGTTACACGTACAGCTGCTAGAAGAACAAACTTCTTGCCCGGGTTGTAGCGGTCGCAGAGGGAGCGGATGTGGGTATATGTGTCAGTACCCATTTCCTGGGGTATGATCTCATTTCTAGGGATATAAGTATTTTGTCCACGAATTGAGTCCCAACCTTTACACATGAAATCTATGGCATCATCAATACTGTAAAACACTAGTTTCACAGCTCCTCGTCCTCTGGAGAGATATCCTCGCCTTGCACACACGGAGAGGTTACGTCTGGAAACTGGGTCTTGTCTGACTTTTAGCAGAACTTGTTGGCACATATTACTGATCTTTGTATAGGGACATTGATTTTGATGACGATCCCAGTGAGCTTTGCGACAGTGCTTGCTACAATAATAAGTGTAACAGTTAGGGCACATGCGAAACTTAGCTTGGACCTCACCTGCAGGCATGACCTTAGTGCATTTGGGGCGATTACACGTGATCAATCCCTGTAGCTGAGTTGATTCATTTCGAGATCGTTCCTTACCTAAAGATGGTTCGAAAGTCTGATTGATTGGCTCCTGATAGGAGTAACGCAAGTTTTTTGATGGTTTCTTAGGGTACTGAGTCGGCTCCTGAAGAGAATGGCGCTGATATTGTGGGTCTTGAGCCTTCAGGGAAGAGTCCTTGAAATGCATCGATTCTGGGAAAGAATAACGGGTTCTGTGATCGCCTTTAGATAATAATTTTCAAAAAATAGACCAATAGAAATAGAAAGAAAAAACTGCTTTTCGAGTAATGTCAGTCTTATGTTATTTAACAAAGCCGGATTTGTTACTAAAACTCGTAGCTAAATGTAGATTCTGTATTGCACAAGTACATGCAGGTTTTGAAAATATTTACAATGACGAGATGTAATCTAAGGGGATGATAAAAACAAACCGACATAACTGTGTGAAAAAAAGCTTAAGAAACAGTTAGGTTAATGTGAAAAACTTAATGTCATATGCTGGCACAGTACATAAAAAAAGAAAGATATGAGGTAATCATATATATATATATATATATATTAGTATTATGTTTCTCACTTACAAGACCAGAAACATGTAACTTTTTTGTGTTAGTTAATTAAGGGACTATAGGCACCAAATAGCTGGAGTCCCAAATATCCAAGTACGTTTATTGCTGATACTGATATATATATATACGTGCATATAATGCACAAAAACCTGATTTAAAGAAAGCTACTATAACTTGGTCAATAAGTTTCTTATAGTCCAGTCTTTATTGTTGTTTTTTTTTTACATACTTCGTGAATTTGAAATTGCTTTAATCAGATACTTATCCTAGTGGTCTGTCAAATCATGGGAAGCTGTGTCAAGTGACATGATCAGCCTCAGGTATTCTGTCGAAAATTGACAGATACATCATGCTGGGTCAGGTGGGCATGTATATCAAGAAACAACCTACCTTGACGTTTCTTCGTTTTCTGAGACACCTCTTTTACGAACTTATCATTTGCGTCTATTCTTAGGGAAAGCCCAAATTCGGGTTCTACAGTCGTGGTTGAGACGCTTGAATACGCCTTTTCCTCATTTGTTGCAGGTCCAAGATATTCTGCTTCATGATGAGGAGACTCTTTGGTATCCACGCTACTACTGAGAACAGTTGCAGGCGAAGTCATGCCAGCAGGTAACTCTTGACAATGTTCCACCTTTTCAGTCCAATCACCAGCAGAGTAAATTCGCCCCTCTCGTGTTCCGTGGGCTGAGCTAAGCATCTGAGGAGCAATTGGACTACTGCGTCGTGACGTCACGGGGCTAGAAGATCGAGAACTGGAAGGTATGGCTAGAAGGGAATCCAGGACGTCATCTAGCGACGTAATAATCTCTTCTCTTTCTTTCTCGAAATAATCGAGACCTGAAAACGAGAAAAAAAATGTCAGATAAAGTAAGTTATATAAAAGATACAAAACTTTGAGATACCCGCTGTTAATTAATATGCACATAAAGAATTACGTGTTTGTCTTGTTTTTTTCGCATTTATTGCAAATGCTGACGACAACCATAGAGTAGTTCCAGTTACCTCGAGACTAAGTTTTCTGTTATTAATTCAGAAAGGTATTCATAAAAACTCCCGAGTGAGACTGAAGAAGAGTATATAACAATATATCAACCTTACCATAAATGATATACACTTTCGCCCAATAGCAGGGCTCTTCGATCGGCTGAGATACGACTCATGTTGAAGTGGTCATCATCATCATTTGATATCATTTCATTGCAGTCCGAAGGGAAAACTGTCGAACCATTAGAGGGTTACGCCCTCTCGTCGGCCAAATGGGAGTGGTTGAGACATCATATATATATAAAAGCAACCGCTTGACAAAAAACTGTTATGGTGTGAGCCGAATTCATATTGGATTGTTTGTTTGTTTT